ATTGATACAAATGAGCAAAAAGCAAATATAGACTACTTTAAGTAGCTATCACACATTTTTTACTATTTCCCTCATCCTAAAAAAACAGAACAAACAAACTTATATTCTTGCACTCTTACATGGCACATGGCAGTAACAGACAGACAATAACAGTGGCAGATATACCACTCCAATTGTTAGTGTTTACAGTGGGTCCTTGATATTAGACAAAAGTAGACAAAACCAGGCCTCCCATTTCCATGCAATGGCTGTAATGACATCTTTCACATGCAGACTTTTTCAGGCATCCACAAGTTGGTTGAAAATTCTGTCTCAAGGCAATTTCATGTTCCCAGCAGACTTTCTTTTAAAAGGAGATCTCTCTAATGGGCTCCTAAATATGTACTTGACTGATGTGTTTGGCAAACTTAAGGCTATCTTAAGTTTGGCTGAAGTTTGGTGTTCTCCATCAGAGCAGGACAGAGCCACTGATATTAGCCTACAGTCTGATATAGCCTAATAGCATCCAGGACCTTCCATACACTGCGGAAATACTAGGTACACTAGCTACAAGGCATATGTGCTATCATGAAGGGGGCTCTTATTAACATATCCTGTAACTCCTAAAAATAATGTACTGTAGTATACAATGCTGCTGGCTTTAGAAGTGAGGCTGGGTTATGATACTACTGTAGGTAGTAAGCTAGTTAGGTGGATATGCTAATGTTTGCAGCAAGTACTCCACTGAAACGAGTATCAGGTATGTATAATGTACTTTTTAAGAGTATGAGTATCATCATGTGCCATCCAGACTCTTCACATACAGAGCATCTCTCTGCAGCCCAATTCACACCAATTAAACATGTAGAAAAATCCAAAGCTCGGCATGATGGCTATGATGGGACATTTGCTGTTTGGGGTAGGGGTCTAACGAACAGTCAACTGCATCTGACTGAGAGCTGCCCCCTCGACGACAACTCTAACCTCAGATCAAGGGCCATCCCGACATATGCTCATGTAAAAATGCTGACTCAGGTTTCCCAGAAAACACTGATCACAAACAGCTAATTTATTTCTGTCACAGCTCATTAGCATCAATGTCAGAGTACCATTTTTCTTGCATAGTACACCAACAGCCACAGAGGAGAAGCTGATTATAGCCTCAGGGCTCATGCTATGATTATTGGTTTAAACCTTAGGGCTTAATTCTCACTAATTCACCTTGTATAGAGAGAGGAAGACATGTGAGAAGTTAACATTGCATCATGTCGAGTGCTGCTTACTGCAGAGCACTGTAATTGTTCAGAATTGGGTTTACAATGCGTGTACGACTCGGGTTGATGTTCAAGGCCTGTATCTGGATGTTGAATGTTTTGCTTGTTTATTAAGAGAGGAGATATGGGAATTCAGTATTC